AAATCTGTAATTGTTGAAAAATGAGGGGAGGGTTATGAATTAATTTCCCAGAAAACCGAAGAATTTTCATGAATTTTGTAGAGTTTAGAATTTATGTATGAAAATCTGAGAAGCAAGAATTGATCATTTGTGCGTATGATAAATATGAAAAAATTAAAATTTGAGAAGTGAAGAATAATTTCTGTGTTAAAAAAATGTATAAATACTGTTTTTTTCTCATGATCAACAATTAGGCAATTTAGATATGTTTTTTGATATAAAAATAAACTGCACACATGAAAAAATGAAAAATATGACGCAGAAAAAAATTTTGCCATTTGAAGAATTTGAAAATACCGAGGATTTTTTTCAGCGACTACTTTACGTGACTCATTGACCAATCAAAATTGAGGATTAGCGGTCAGGCAGTTTCGAGATATTTCGATATAAAACAACTTCACGTTTCTTTCATCTTTAGTAAATAGGAGGATAGGATTATGAGAAGTTGCACCTTATAATAATTTAAATTTATTCATCGTAATTGAAATTTGAAAATTTGAATTGCTGGTTATTTTAAAAAATAAAAAAATTGCCGAGTAACATTAGCAATTGACTCATGCCAAATTTAACTGTAATTCAAAATTTCGTTTATGCCGATGTCTGGGCTACAGTAGATTACATAAATATCAGTTTAACTTATTGGTGATATTGGATTATGTGTAGGAATACTCAATAAAAACACATTAGTTTTATTCTTCAAAGTAAAACTCTTTAATGATCGCACGCAGAAGGTATATCTTTCTCCAACGAAGTCTCTAGGACGACTAACTAAAAGTCATGAGAGTTTTCACTCTCTGGACCCATTTGACAAAAGGCCCTTGTTTCAATTTTCTTCAGCCTCTCCTTTGTGACTCACCATGAGGACTGTTTTTCTTCACGTCTCTATTTTCTAAGAAAAGCCATAAATGTCACCCTGAGTGTTTGGGTGGAAAAGAGAAAATGTTTAACTAAACTAAGAAATTAATTTTTGTATTCAGGCATGAATTCCAACAGGTGAAGCCATAAAATTGGGTTGACTTTAATGCAAGTGAGATTGCCAAACGTAGTTCTTTATGCTCCTTCATATTTTCCTCCAATTCCGATGAAACTTCATGAAAAAAAACTGAACAAGGAAAATTGAAGCTCTGATTTTGTTTCGCGTCACAATAATCTTATCGACTTGAAGACGTAAAATAAATACCCCACTTGTCACTCTCTCTCTCTCTCTCTCATGACTCATTGTTGACGAATTATTGTGTTTTTAGGGGAATTACTATTGTGATGATTTTTTTTCAAGAGCCTTGTGCTCTTTCCTCGTGATTAATCAGCTCTCATTGTTCCTCCTAATGATCTTCATTAGTGGCCAGACGAGAATTCCCCATGTGCGTATGAACTGCAACTGAAACAAAATAATGGAGACACGTGGAGCATTTATTATGCATTCAATTCGCGTATTCTCGCGCTAGGATGTGATTCATTGATGGAATCTTGTGGCTGTTCTATCGGTTTGAATCGACGTCAGAGTTCACGGATCAGGGGGTCTTGTTGATGGAGAAATGGAAAGTTGTTTTTGGCGAGGGGAGAGAGCATCGAGGAGAATGAGTGGAGAATTGAAATTATCGGTAATTCAGGGTCACTTCCAGGTGTACTGGCATGACTCACAGACCATTTGTCGGTTTATCAAGGTGGTTTACCTGTTGAATTTTACTGCAGACGCGGAATTTCTGGTTTTAGTCGGGCTTTTGGGGAGATACAAGAAATTATGCTAAATGAGGAAATTTGGAGTTTGGGAATGTCAACGGGGCAAGCGGGTTCACTGACCAGTGTCTAGAGTCTAGACATCACTATTGGCCGAGGTTTTTGGGGTATGACTAACTGAACAATGCGCCAAGACCATTGAGTCCGAAGAAATCCCCAATATTGACAGTTGGAATTCAGTTGAAATTCAAGTTTAGTTTTTGCTAAATATCTCAGAATTCAGGGGAGATAGCGGAATATTTGTGAAGAACTTTTTTACGGGGAATTTCAAAAGCTGCAAAAAAGGTCGATATAATATTTTTCGTATCGCCCTTCGTTTCCAAGATATTCACCAAAAACTAAAACCGAAGAAATCGCGTTTTAAAAAACGGGATAAATAACTTTCGGTTGTTTGTTAATATCTCGGAATCTACTGAAAATACGGAGATATTCGTAAGGACCTTTTTTATAGCTTTTGAAATGCCCGACAAAAAGTTCCCCACAAAAATTCCGCCAACCCCCATAGCTTCCGAGGTATTCCCCGAAAACTCATCAGGAATTCCCATTTAGGGGAAAAAGGTGGCAATGGGTCACTATCTCCTCAAACAATAACCGATGATTCAACCTCGAGTGGAAATATCTTTGGCGCCCATGAGTAACGTTTATCGAGAAATGTCTAGGTGTCAAGATTCATCATACCTATTCACTGTTTAGGCCTGCATTTTCGAGCCAAGGACGATTTAAAAAAAATTACTCGGTAATTCCGTCTCTCCGAGATTTCCAGTGATCCCCAATGAACCCCCGACTCTGACGCACTGGAATATTTTAAGATGTGATCTTTGTTGTGGTTTCGAGGTCGATCCGCAGGACTAAAGACCTGGATTCGTCATGACTTTGATTTTTGCACCGAGAAATGGATTCGTAATGCAGGAGACACTCTTCTCACTAATTAAATCCGTGCATCATCGATCCTTGGGGATTAATTGGGTAATAGAGGTGGCACTGATGACCCATTGTTCGATATTTTAATTTCATTACTAATGGATGAGTCAGTTAATCGGCATTTGCGATGACCATTGATATTCCTAATGTGAACTATTTCATTTATTCATGAAATCAGAATGTTTAATCAGGAATTATGATGCGTCTAAATTTTCCGGGCTTTCAAGAGTGAAAAACAAGTTGAGATGTTCGTTGATGTGTTGGGCGAGGAATGCACAATGTCTTAAGACGTTTTTTCAAGTGGAATGTTTTGTATTATGACATCAATAGAGAATTTAGACTTTATTTGGTGATTAGTCAGTGAAATCGCATAAAAATTGGTTTTTAGACTTTTATTCGATCAATTTCGCGTAATTTTAGACTTAATTTGATGATTAGTTATGAAATCGTATAAGAATTATTTTTTATGCAATTAAAATTGAGGTATTTCAATAAATTAGTCATGTTTATTGAATAAAAAAACGAATAATTCTAAAAAAATTGTAAATAGTCTTACGAGTGTTTTTTGCAAAAATGGCTTTCACAATTCATCGGAAAAAGTTGTTTTACAGAATTTTTTGAAAAACAAGTTTTGCGGAATATAGAAAATTGTTTTCCAGAATTTAAAAAAAATGGAAAAATGACTTCAGGCATTTTTTGAAATTCAATTTTTCGTCTTATGACATCAACAGGGAATTTAGACTTTTATTCGATCAATTTCGCGTAATTTTAGACTTAATTTGGTGATTAGTTGGTGAAATCGCGTAAGAATTATTTTTTATGCAATTAAAATTGAGGTATTTCAATAAATTAGTCGTTTTTATTGAATAAAAAAAAAGAATAATTCTAAAAAAATTGTAAATAGTCTTACGAGAGTTTTTTGCAAAAATGGCTTCAAAAATTAATCGGAAAAAATTGCTTTCCGGGGTTAAAAAAAAAGATAAATAACCTCAGACATTTTTTGAAATGCAATATTTTGTTTTATGACATCAACAGAGAATTAAAACTTTAATTTGGCGATTATATGCTGAAATCGCATAAAAATAATTTTTTACACAATTAAAATTGAGGTATTCCAGTAAATTATTCATTTACATTGAATAAAAAAACGAATAATTCTAAAAAAATTGTAAAAAGTCTTACGAATGTTTTTTCTAAAAAAGGCTTCAAGAAAATTTCGGAAAAAATTCTCGTGCAAAATTTTTGAAAAAAAAAAATTTTACGGAATAAAAAAAAAATTTCTGGAATAAAAATAAACAGAAAAATGTTTCCCGAAATTTTTCGAGAAATCGAAAATCCTGAGATATTATTCACATCAGGCGCGAAATACCCCCCTCGTACATTTCCGTGTTTCTCCGTCATTCGCACCCCTCTCACGCCGCCCCTCTCGCGTGACGTCACATTTAGAAGGTCCAATGGTAGTAGGAGTGGATGACTCACCGTTCGGCACTTGGGGTCTCTCTCGTGTGAAACACAACTGCGGCTCATAGTTTTCCTACGTTTCAGCATCAACCAGTCTTTCGTCAAAGGGCAAACCATAAACATTGTCTTGTCACAGAGTTTCGAACAGTGAAGAGAATATTTTGAAAATCAATTGAATTACCCAAGTTCCCCTGTGATTGTGAGACTGATTTTACCGACGAACTAGTGTGTCGAAATTTCTAGTTCATTTAACGTGACAACAATTTCGAAAAAAACGAGGATGAGGATTAAAAAGGCACCCTGCCTGGTGCTGAGGCTTGTGCCCTTCGAGAATCTCGAGCCCTGGGGTATGTTTCCAAAACGAAAAAATAATAACAACAATAATCCCCACAATAAAAATTATTCTTCTGTTATTTCGACTATTGAATGGCCATTTCCACTGGCATCGCAGGAATACTAGACCCTGGCGTGGGGGAAACGCGGAAAAATCGAGGACTCCCGTCCTCTCCGCGATGACTCAGTCCTTCACTGTTTGTGACACTTCACCTAGAATTACAAAAACCGAAACAACATCATAACAATAATTTCCCCCCCAACATCAATTGTTTGAAAAATCCTATCGATAACTTTTGAAATTCACTTCCTGGGGTCGAGCGACACACGTGATCGCGCGATGACGCGTGCTCAAAGTTATTTTTTCGAGACAATTTTTTTTAATGGGGTCGTTTTTTTTCTTATTCGAGAGATCATTCGTCGTATGAGTCAGCCGCCAACAAATGCGCATTAAAAACTCCTCTATAAACAATAAAAAAAAAACGATGATCCGACGTTATTGTTTGCAGGAGGCCACAAGGAATTCCACAGAAGACACCGCGATCTCTGCGAGGATACGCTCCTGCCAGGGGGGAGTAGTTCCCCCCCGGCATCGGTGAGTGGCTGCACGAGTCCGGGTCCAGGATGTCCCGTAATGAGCATTGGCCAGCCCACGACACCCCAGCCCGCAGACATCGACAACCATCCAGCCTCACGAGTCCTGCCATTTCTGTACCTGGGTAATGGGAGGGATGCTGCAGACCTGCAGCTACTGCGGGCACTGGGAGCCACGAGGGTCCTTAATGTCACTTCCCAACTGCCTGGCTACCACGAAGCACGGGGGATAACGTACAGACAGATACCCGCGACAGATTCAGGACACCAGAATCTCAAGCAGTACTTCGAGGAGGCTTTTGATTTCATTGGTAAGTTTTTTTTTCTAATGACTCCAATCATTATTTCAATGATATTCATTGATATTCACTGATTTAATCATTTTTTAATGATTTTTAATCATTACTTTATGTGATCATTCGGTTTGAGTATTTTAAAAAATGACTTTGACCCGACGGGATTCGAACCCGGAACCTCTCGCATGTGAAGCAACGAATTTACCGACTGCGCCAGGGGGCTCTGGGGTCTCTTTTGTTGAGCTCATCGGTCATTATGACAAAACAATTGTTCCCTTTTCGTTCTTGGCGGGAGGGAGGGGAATGACTTTTGATGATAACTTTTGAGAAGAAATTACGAATGTTGATGGTCTGGTCGGATGACTAACGTCGGGTTTATTCGTATTCCATTTGAATAAATGGGAGTGCCGAAATGTTCAACTGGGGTAATGAACCGTATCCGCTTTGCCCCTCTCTGTCATCAACAATTTTTACGGTCTAATTAATCGGTTGATTGAGGGAAATTTCGGGTTGGATGAGTCAAGTCTTTGGAGTTGGTTGCAGTCACGAAATCAGTTGAAGTCAATTGCAGTCGCGGAGTCATGTTGTGCGGCGCTTAAAGTCATTGAAATCAATTTTTATTTTGAAGTCATGGGGTCAGTCAATTCTGGAGTGACCACTCGCGTGGAAGTCTAACGAAATCATTGAATTCATCGCGATCGATCATCTTTTGAATCATACTTACACTGTTTGAAAGCAATGAAATCAGTTGAAGTTAGTGAAGTCACGCAAACACGATGAGTCAAATTGTATGGGTCAAAAATCATGGGTCAAAATCGTGGGTCAAATCATATGAGTCAAAAATCATAAGTCAAATCGTATGGGTCAAAAATCATAACTCAAATCGTCTGAGTCGAAATTATGGGTCAAATCATAAGTCAAATCGTATGAGTCAAAAATAATAAGTCAAATCGTATGGATCAAATCATATGGGTCAAAAATCATAAATCAAATCGTATGGGTCAAATTGTAGGTCAAATCGTATGGGTCAAAAATCATGTCATCGTATGGGTCAAAAATTATAAATCAGATCGTATGGGTCAAAAATGATAGGTCAAATCGTATGGGTCAAAAATTATAAATCAGATCGTATGGGTCAAAAATGATAGGTCAAATCGTATGGGTCAAAAATGATAGGTCAAATCGTATGGGTCAAAAATCCTGGTTCAACTCGTATAGATCCAATCGTGCATATGAAATCGCAACGGCCGCTTGAACCCATTGAAATCAGTCTCCCCCTTTGAATAATTGAAATCACGCTGTCCCATCCCCCTAAAATCGACGGTTACCAACGGCATTCCACCAGTTGCACATCCAAAGAGAGGGGGGGGAAAACACAAAACATGGGGTACCTACCCCCCGGCGCAAACCTACAACACAAAGATCATAAAATAGTAGAGGGGGTCGAGAATTCCCAGCAACAGGGGCGCGGGGGGGGGGCTGGGGAGAAGTTTTTGGTGTGCGTAAGTGAGTCATGGTTTTCATGAATGGGAGGCCTTTCGTCTCGTGTCCAACACAATGTTCCCCATGTGTGTAACACACACAGTCAGTCAATGGTCCACCGGATACGGCTGGTTATGCCCCGTTTCCGTTATAACGAACTGCGTCGTCGAGCCATGCTCGCGTAATTGACCCGTTATTTTATCGCCATTCTTTCCCTAATTTCGTTTTTATTTACTCCGTTCCGTAATAAATCGTCAGTACCTCAACAAGATTATCAATTGTGGATCCGATCGTCACTCGAGTACTCCAAGAATGTATTCCTTTGTATTTGTTTACTATTTATCAAGATGTAGTCACGCGTTAAAAACGAAAAAACAAAAAATAACAATTCAATTCTTTGAATTATGTCACGAGTGACGATACAGGGGGTTGATACCCAATTAATCTTCGCCACGGGCTCCTTTCTCTTTTTTTTTTATTCTCCCTCTCTTCTTCATTTTTTTTCTTCCCCTGTGACTCACGCCAGATGCTCTACTGCGTTCTAATGTATATAACACTGGAAACACAGATGTTCGTTGAACGCAGACGACGCACGAGAGGAAAAACTACACTGTAAATAAACTCTCACCCGCACATCTCCCCACCGGGCTTTATCTCCTCATTCACAAATAATTTTCGGCGTAAAGTTCATTAGACTCACCAGAGTGGTATGAATTTGGCTTCCGTGAAAATTGAGTTGACGGTTTATTTCTATTGAGTTGGGTAAAATAAATGAAAAAAAAAAAATGTGCTGATACAAAACCGCATGCATAGGGATCCGGGTATATGAGTCACAGTCTTTGGTGATACGATAGCGTCCCCCATATTACGTAACTCAATCGGCTGTTTGGGTTGCAAGACAACTTGGTTGACATTTTTTTTTAATGCGGGATTAATGTGTTTATTGACATGGGGGCTCTAGTAACGGAGATGAGGCTGTTTGGAAGGAGGGGCTTTAATGTTTCATTGTTTCAGAGATCCCCTTAAAGTCTCTGTTTGTTACTTAATTTTATCGTTTAATGAGGAGTGCATTTTTGTCTTTGTTTGTTGATTAACTGAACTCCCGAGATTCACTAATGTCGATAATTATGAACGACTGGGGGGGGGGGGG